GCTTAGAAAAGCAGGGATAATTTATCCACAGAAACAGCTAAGGAAGTTGAATGTATGGCTAAAAATGCAAGTAAGATGGTAGATTTTTAGATGCAAAAGGGAGATAGTTCTCCTATAATTGCTTCTAATTTCTCAGTGAATGAAAGGCAGCATTATAAGGGCAGAAAGGATATTTGAGATTTGAGGAGACAGAGGAAAAGGGGGTCAGAGAATTGAAGCATTCATGGAAATGTGCAGGATGTGATGGATGCTATGTTTATACATGAGATTTGGCAGAAGAATGGTTTGTTTTCCTTCATTAAGGATGAGTTGCTCAGGTGCAGGTGGGGAGCACTGAGTTTAGAGTCAAGGTTTTACAAGGCGGGGGTGAGAAAGGTGAGCAAGGGGGCAAACACTGAGAAAGCATAGGGCCAATGGGTTGGAATCCTGATGGGTCTGGAGAACGTTTCCTGGCAGGGTTGCCAAGGAAGTGAGTTGGAAAGATGCCAGGTGATGGTAGAGAACGGAATACTTAAACCTGAGATTTTGAGGGGAGAACAATTACTTCCACCTCTTTCCTTCTGCCCCATCAAGAATGCAAGATGGAATTAGGTCACAAAGGTATAGTGGAGGGAAAGGGCATTGGAGAGAGAATGGAGGCTGTGAGGCTGTTGGGTCACTGAGGATGATTATCAGCAAAAGGGTGAGCCAGGGGATCAGCTCTGCAGGGATGGGGAAGAATGACTGTGCACAGACAAGTGGCAGTGGTACTGTCTGGTAGCATTTGCTCCAGGGGAGCTGAGGATTCTGAAAGAAGAGATGGTGAAATGGCCTGGAATAAACACTGAGGAGCAAGACTATCTCATCTACCTCCAGGCCCAATGCTAAGAGGGGTACAGGAGAAAAATCAGCCCCTGCTTGGGAGGAATACAAGGGAAGCAGTGTCCCCTGGAGTGGGCTGGGTTTCAATTAGTGAAAAGAGAAGATAAGAGAAGATGAAGTAAACAGTGATGGGAAGAATGACTGTGCACAGACAAGTGGCAGTGGTACTATCTGGTAGCATTTGCTCCAGGGGAGCTGAGGATTCTGAAAGAAGAGACGGTGAAATGGCCTGGAATAAACACTGAAGAGCAAGACTATCTCATCTACCTCCAGGCCCAGTGCTAAGAGGGGTACAGGAGAAAAATCAGCCCCTGCTTGGGAGGGATACAGGGAAGCAGTGTCCCCTGTAGTGGGCTGGGTTTCAATTAGTGAAAAGAGAGGAGAAGATGAAGTAAACAGTGAGCATTTGCTGATGAAAGACCTGAAGTCTAGAGGAAGGGCATGGGGGAAGGCTTTGCAAGGGCAAGGGCAGGGGTTGAGTCAGATTAGGATGTAAGAGCTGAATGGAAATGAGAGTTTAGATGATGTTATGAACTGAATGTGTCCCCACAAATTCATATGTTGAAGCCTTAACCTCCAGTGTGATGATATTTGGAGGTGGACCTTTTGGGAGGTAATTAGGGTTAGATGAGGTCAAGAAGGTGGGTGGGGCCCTCATAAAAAGTAGTGGCCTTATAAAAAGAAGCTCTCTTCCAATTCAGGGCTGGGTTGGTGGGAGACCAAGAAAATTCTAGTACCAATTCCAATGTGTGTGTGTGAGTGTGTGTGTGTGGGGGGGGGGCAGGTTTCCCACACCACCAAGCAATTCTCCAACACCAGCTATTTGTCCTATTATTCAAATCAATTCTGGAACTGTCTACCTGGAGAAAGCATCAGATTCCACAGGTTAAGGGTTACTCCTCAAAGACTAACCCATCCTCTTCAGACACCAGGTATAACTCCGGTTGTCACTGACTGACCAGCTACAGACAGAGGTTTCAGCAACCTCCTTTCACATCAGCTGACATACTGATCATGGACTTCCTAGCTTCTAAAACTGTGAGAAATAAATTCCTGTTGTTTAGGCCACCCAGTGTGTGTGTTTTTTTTATTTTATTTTTATGGCAGCTACTAGAATTCCAGTATCAATTCCTCCCACACCACCAAGCAATTCTCCAACACCAGCTATTTGTCCTATTATTCAAATCAATTCTGGAACTGTCTACCTGGAGAAAGCATCAGATTCCACAGGTTAAGGGCTAGTCCTCACAGACGGCCCCTTCCCCTTCAGACACCAGGTGTAACTCTGGTTGTCACGGACTGACCAGCTACAGACAGAGGTTTCAACAACCTCCTGAAGGCCATATGAGGATACAATGAGAAGGCAGCTGCCTGCAATCCAGAAAGCTACCTTGCCCCAGGAATCACATCAGCTGACATATTGATCATGGACTTCCTAGCCTCTAAAACTGCAAGAAATAAATTCCTGTTGTTTAGCCCACCCAGTGTGTGTGTGTGTTTTTTTTTTTATTTTATGGCAGCTACTAGAATTCTAGTACCAATTCCAATGTGTGTGTGTGAGTGTGTGTGTGTGGGGGGGGGGGAGGTTTCCCCCACCACCAAGCAATTCTC